GTTTGACCATCGATGTCTTCGGAGCATTGCCCGAATCTGGTGGGAACACCGGATCAGCAATTCTGAAGTACGCCGAATGGTATTCGGGAAAAATAACTCACCCTCGATAGATGAACTGATCACACTGCATAGATTGCGTTGGCTTGGCCACGTGTTGCGTATGCCAGTCGACCGACTTCCTCGAAGGGCTCTTTTCGCACAACCACGTGAAGGGTGGAAGAAAGCCAGAGGCGGTCAAACAATGACTTGGCAGCGAAGTATGAAAGCAATTACCAGCAAACTCAGCTGGGCTGGTCACTGCTGCCTTCCTGGATGGGGACCCCGAGACGGGCCACATCAATGGCTAGAGACATTGTCAGATATGGCCCAGTCGCGCCTTCAATGGCGCTCGTGCATCCAAGCTATTGCCTTCAATGCATAGCTCCTTATTTTAACCCACCTCCCACTTGACAGCCCACTGTACCTATCCCCCACCAAACATCGGTGAACGAAACTGCGGCAGCTACAACCACTGTACGACGAGTACGCGGTTATTACAGCTGACAACGGTGATGATGATGTTTGGTTCGATATTTAAGCTGCTCAGAATTCAGGCGCTCTGACATGTTACTTGGTTAGCGCCACGTCAGGTGGTGTTGCTTTGATTTTAACTGGTGCCATGTTCCCAGTTAGCGAAAGAATAACGGGCTACTGCAGACTATAACTTTTCTGAAGCGAATGATCGTAAACATAACGTGCAAACGGTATGTGTGGAATAATGTATAGGAAAACAGAAAAATAAAATTTCGAGACAAAGGCCTGGTACCAACAGTTTTCAGATGGGCAAACTGATATCCAATGTATGTAGCAATGATTGGCAACTGAAGAAAGGACAAGCAATGCAGAATGCTTTCTAGGGCACAGTACGCGCTAGCACTGTCAAGACTCGCACATCAGGGAAAAATGTCCATCATACAGGGCTAGACGTAAAAGTCATTGGCAAGAACACTCACTACCTGTGCCGTCCATGCGTGCCGAGGGAGAAAGGATCACGGGCGAACACAAGCCCCCAACTGTGACATTAGGCAGCGTCAGTACAACAGCAGCACTCGTGATTCAGGAAAACAGGTATTCCGCGAGCAAAAAATCAACATCAAACTCCACGGCAAGTAAGGCTCAGATGATACCGCGCGGAAATTCTCCAGCACCAAATTTCTGCTTCTTCCATTGCCATACAAGCACTCCGTGATCACCCCAGATTATCCTTACATCACCCTACATACCGACAAAGCGCCACTTTTCTTGCACCCACAAGCTCTCACGTTCCATCCTCACGTTGGACTCAGCTTACCAAAACGCAGGTAGTCTAGGCACAAATACTAACCCACCGCTACGCTACCCAATAACGCACTGATGATGTCACCTCGATTGGTGGTGAAACGTTTGCAATCAAACTGTCCAGCTCAGCGAACAAGCCAACGACCATCTACGCTACCTGAGCTGCCGACATTTTCCTCTATAGAATACAACGTAGAATAAGCGATGCAAAAAGTATTGGTTATAACGGAGCTCCAGCTCATTCCTCTGTGATTTCCACACTCAATGGGAGCACCTTTTTTGAAAATGGGCACCACTATCGGCCCACTGCAGTTGGTAGGGGCGGTCTCTTCCGTTCAAATAGGAGCAAATAAATGAGACACGCGCCGACAGAGGATTTCAACTCCATCTCCGAACTGAGTGGGTGGAAGTTTGTCAGAACCGGCAACCCGGTCATGCTTGATGGACAGAAAAGTATTCGCTTATTTCCGAAGTCGTTGGGGTTCAGAGTTCCCCGACCCGGGTTGAGTTACGAGTCGGGATGCCAGCTGAACAACTGCAGGTGCCCAGTTAGCTTGCCGTTGAATGTGCTAAACCAGAGAACTCTGGCATTTTTTCTCTTTTATATATCAGTGATTGAACAGCCCACCGGAGACCTGTTTGGGCCTATCAGATAGAGTAGTCTTCGTAGATTCTGGCTATATCCATCTTCCAAGTTTTGTGGACCCGCTAAGCTTCTCGATCTACACAAATGCTTTTCTTAACTTGAGTTGTGACAGTTTATCGAGTGGTATTGTACTCTCGACCAGAATGTGTCCAAGCTTTGAGCAATTTTAGTGTTGCTCGAGATCCAGCGCTGCCGGTTGCGCCGTTCAACAAGTGAGTGATGATCATGCACGATATCTTCAGTTATCGCACTAGGCGATTTACACCTTGATGTGAACTGAAAGAAGATAGTATTTCACAACCTGTACAAGTTTCTGTGACAAGTGGATTAGCAGTAAATATTCGGTCCAATTCAGGAGTACGGAGCCGTTTACAATATTCACATTAAAAAGGATAAGGACTCACTTAGACGAAATAAGAAGTGGAATTTTCCGACACCCGGGAGATTTGAGAATTCGGAAAAGCAGAGTCATTGTCTCTTGAAATACATTGGAAGGGCACATGTCTATTTTTGTGACAACTACGAATACCGGGACACCAAGCGCTAGAGCAAGACCTAAATGCTCTTTGGCCATTCCGATTACGCCAGCGTTCGCCCCCACCATAAACATAGCGTAGTCTGGAGCATGTCCGGTCATTCCGAAAATTGTGGTCTTCAGGTAACGCTCATGCCCAGCAAGGTCGATGAAAGTAATGACCTATCAAGATGAAACAAAGTTCGTATAACGAAAGGATACCAGAAGATTGTATTTCACGCTGCGCTACACCTGATACGCGCTTTCGAAGACAAGACAAGAGGAGTATGTGTGTAGCAAAAAAACTAAGATGCTGCCAGTAAATGATTGACAAATAAAACAGCCGACAAGCCAGTACGGTATGTCCATGCATAAGATTAACTGCAACCTATACTTCAGACATGCTAGAAAGTAAGCCGACTGCTTCATCCAAGCCAAATATGCCAGTTTTCTGTTAAAAGCCTGCTTTTAAAAGTCACATTTTGTATTACGCATCTGAGTTTTCATCTAACATGATCATGAAGTTTTTATTCAGATTCGACCACACGATTCACGAAGCTTATGGCGGCTGAACGGTAAATTCAACACTATTCAGCCTGAAATCTACATACTGGTTTTCTTAGCTTGACGGATATTAGGATAGCAGCCCACAAATAGCATGATGGGGAAAATACTGTTGGTGTTTTGCAACCGTCACCAATGTTGATTTCTCTCATCCAAATTTGCTCTGAAAAGACTCATAGGATGATGATACGGTAGTGTAGACCAAAACTATCTGATAATAAATGCGATAGAACATTGTAAAAAGCCCTTCTTTTGGTTACCATGCGCTAAACCCTGTTGTTCCTTCAGGTATTCGGAAAGTCCATATCACGTTGTCTTAACAAAAGGACGAGTACCAGACAGTAAGACGTACACCTAAGATTTGGACGCCTGAAGAATGAAGATAGGTCAGAAAATACTCAACCGTTTCGGCTCGAGAGCGGTTATAGGTAGTTGCTGGGTTTGTAAAGTTTACATACACATAACTATCGTCTGAATAGTCCTCCTCCTATCATGCTATCCTATTCCCGTGAGATCATACCAAAAACGGGAAGCACTTGCCTCGGGTTTCACTCACATTAGAGCTTATCAGCAGTGTATATCCTTGTCCGTGCCAGGGCTCGAACTCCAGGCGCCTGACATTCGCGGCGAGCATGTTACCACTAGACCAGCGCAAACTGGACGCACCTGATTTATTACATCTGAGCAGGCGAACGTGACCATGCTTGGACTATGTGATTGGTTTGCTTGACGTCACGAAGGACGACCTGGTAGCTGGCCTAGATTCGATGTGCTAAGCCTAAACAAGCAGGTTTTCCTTCATTTCAAAAGGGCTTGAGAAACAATCGGTAGTTTTATAACTGGGTAACGTTTTGCTTTTGACACAAAAGCTTCCTCAGGTCAAGTGAACAGTTGAACAAGTTGGCCAGGTCTGAAGGCAGACGGAGAAATAATCAGCAAGACCTCTTCCGATTAGCACAATAGATCAGGGTTGAACGTTACTTAAAAGATTTTGTCGGTTAGTGTCGTTGCCTGAATCTTACGATCAATGGGTTGGGGGAACTTCAAATTAGTTTTCACTGGGTTTTCGTCCTTGGTCTTCTGGTTGAAGACGATTAATTGATTATTCAACTAGGGTGCCACCAGTTTGTGAGTCCTACGACGACGTAGTTGGGGGGTGAGCGGGGTGGGACTAGGTGGAATTTTGTTTTTTTTTTTCACCTAAGTCGTTGCTACAGTGAAAACCTAAAAACAAAAGCGCGTCGAAAAGGGATACTCAGTTAGATTGATCGTAAACGGAAAATGCCGTCGCTTGGATCTGGCACTCGCTAGCCCGAAACATTGACTTAACCACCGATTACTGAACTCTGTGACCTATGACATCTTAATAGAGAATACAGACACACGAACTTCCTGGTGACTTCCATAGGCAAGTATCACCCAGGACCAAAAATACTAACGACAACTAATAGGCTACAAAGCTCTATGCACACACGAGGTTGTAGTGTAAGACGTAAGACATTCCAGTTTGTGAACTTAGCAGTCAGGGTCGTTTGGTGCAAGAAAGGTGATAAATGTCATGCGGGAATAACACGGTAAACGGTTATCAGTTGTGCGACCGCAATAGACTACGAAGTTGGTGTTGTGCAATAAAGCAACCATTCTCAGCACGAGGAGTCTGAGCCCTTAACATGCCACTAGCAGGAATTTCAAACGACCAGCATCAATATTCTCTCAGACCTAGAGCTGTAACTTTATCAAAGTTGTCGGGTTTGAGCGCTGCAATGATCTTGCCGACTACACCGAGGAGAATTGTTCCTCAGGGTTCAACAATATAAGGAAGGTTAGTGGGCGGAAGCCGGACGAAGAACAGCGAGATTCAGCACTGCGAGGAGTCGTATTACGAGCCGACCTGGAGTCAAAGTCATGAAGTGCTCTGCGATGGGTGTACAAGTGCAGCCGCGCGGTCCAGACATGTGAGTCAAAGGCCCAACTAAACCAGGAAACATCACAAACGAGAGATTCAGCTGGGTTCCAAGTGAGTCTCTTGATTCCGATGGACCGTGGTATCTACGGTGCGGGAGTTCGGCTAGGTCATATAGCTGATTGCACTTTAGTGAACTGGATCCAAGCAACTAGTCGTTTTTGAGCTGTTAAGCGAACTAGTCCAATCAAGATCAAAGCATGTGGCGGACGGTTTTTGTGTGTTAAAATACGCCCTGACAGATGGTATCTCTGAGGCGAGGTTGAGATTTGTCACGGTGCTTCGGTCAGCGTCAAGTTCAGGAGCCATTATTCTGACAGGTGATATGAATGCAGCGTCTGGCGGCGAGTGGTGTCCCTTCAAAATTCTTGTCTCCTTATGCCTCCTCCTGAGCACACGTTCATGTCTACAACGAATTATCTCCTGAGTTCACCACATCGAGTGGCAACAGGCGAAGATGTCCACTGTCGCCTTACCTCCCTAACTTCTTCTTCTTCCTCTTCTTGAGTCTTCTTCACCTGCCTCGAAAACCCCTGGGATCGAAATAGTCTCGAGACGTTTGCTCAAACACAATATTGCTCTTCTTAGATCAGAAAAGCAAACTATTTATAATAACCTGAACAAGTCCGCTCCACAGTTTGGCATGCACTTCGCGCCTGTAAAGTGCTGCTGCAAGACTGCGTTAGATCAAACCCAAACAGGTGAACCAATCTGTATGGTAGATAATTTCGTCTATCTGGACAGCTGCATGAATCCCGAATCGGGAAGAACAGTGCTTACTAACTTCCAACATTTGTGGCACCAATGTGACATCAGCTTGAATGCCAAGGGTTAAGTGTACAACACCGCAGTCTGATCTGTCCTATTATATGGATCAGAGACGTGATCTCTGCGTTCGGATCTTCGAAAGCTGTCTATGTCTGACCGTCAGTGTCCCAGAAGCTTTGAGCGGGTCTAATGAAAAATCAGATCCGTGGTGATTAGTAACGCTGGAAGGTTTCCGAGTTGGTTTACTCTCCCTCGTTAGATCAGCTAGCCGCACTCCATTGGTTACACTGGCTATACCATGTGCCTATTGAAGACTCTCTGCCCGATGATTACTGACCCCGACAGGTATGGCTGTCATGCTGCCAATGGTACCCTTTCATCAAAGTTGTCATCTCCACTGCTTTTACTCAATGCCATACCGCACATAATGTCAATGAAGTGATTGAGCCATCGCCTCCAACTAGTGAAAGGAAGAAGGCTTTCGCTGCGGAGTTATTTGTTGGAAAGTGCCAACTGACCGGTTACAGAATATTGGACAGGGAAGCGAAACTCTCATATGCATCTTGTTTACAAAACCTGAACATCCATCTTCTCTTAAAGGAGTCTTCCTGAACTTTCCTGGATATTCATTGACTGTTGCTCAAATTCAAGAAAATACTACAGAGCGACTCCACAAATTCCGCAATATATCTCACTTTTCAAGAGACGCAAAGCGAATTTACGGGAAAACATACTTCTCGCATACCTTCCCCATCAGTAGTATCACCGTCACACTAGTAGTTCTCGTTCTTTTATTCTACTTACCCTCGATGAACAAAGCTGTAGCAGATGGAACCACTGTACTTTGGTACGACTTATGAGCTGGGAAAATAAACCGAAATGAATTTTCCAACTTTCTAACGAATATCCTGTTAGAAAATATGTGATCGGGTCCAGAATATCTCAACAACACGAGCATTTTCGTACTTATCAGACAAACTTCGAGGAATTGGGCACATGGCCCTTCGGTTTAGTCTTACGCTCTTGACCTTTCGACTGTGCGCCTACCGAACAGTTTACACAGCTGAAAGATTTCAATTGGATGAAACTTAACTTGAACCACTTGTTGACGAATTCAGTTATCCGACTACTTTTGGACGCAGAAAATGCTTGATCAAACTTGTCATCTGCCTTTGAGGAAGACCTGATAGGTACCAAGATGTGGAATAGGCTTCGACCTGTTGTCTATACCGAACCGGAAACCCCCGACCGAGAGACGACGTGTACGAACCCACCCTTGAGGCCCACCTCATGAATACCTTTGGGATCCGATCACATCTTTGCTAAAGACGTCCATCCAAATCCAACCCCATAGCCTTGTAACTACTAATTCATCCTTGAAAATCGGCAGCTGTTCCATGCAGGTTTACCACCATCCATTATTCCTTAGATTTTACATGAAATCAAAATCCAGACTGAAAGAAATTAATTCTGAAAGGTACTTACTCATTTTGTTGGACCTATCTCTAATTGATGCAGTCAATTGGAGTGAACGTGACTACATCATCCAGTGAACCTTAATCATTTGCTGAATACTGTGTACCTAAATTGGGCCCCACTTAGGCTAACATGAGCGCAGTTCAACGTCTGAATAACTTCGGATACTCACCGACAAACCCTATCCGGCAAGTTTATCTTGTATTCACCGAAAAACAGCTTCACATAGTGAGTCTCTGGCACCTGAGTGGAATTTGTTAGTCAAAATTGGTCAAACTACTGAACACCTTCTAACAGTAGGAGAGTCAACAAGGATTTGCGGTGAGACGAGCAAAACCCAGGCGCCGATGTAGACCCGAGGGAACAAGATCGGCGGGCGAATGGTTAACCCCAGTTGACTGGCTCAATCCTTACAAGAAAGCTTAAGAGCGACATGAAATCAGCCCTAGGTTCTGTACGACATGTGTCACAACCAACGAATCTTTCACTGTTTATTAAAGGTATACGACGATCGCACATAAACTGTCTACAAAAAAATGCACGTAAACCACTCATCATTGGTATGCGTAAGAGCTGAGTCAAGCTAATTAATAAATAATAATCGTTCGCCTGTAACACACGGCACGTAGCTGCAATGTCACCCGAAGGAAGCATGAGGGCCTAGATGCTACTAAATGGCCCAAACCTAGACAGGAAAAGTCCAGATGCTGAGGTTGACTACGAACCATGGACCTTCCGATCAGTAAATTCGCGCGTTAACCACTCAGCTACCTCAAGGTTAAACTTAAGGCTATAAACCCCATTCCAAGGTACGGTGGCTCCAGATACTACAGTTCCGTTCACTGGGGATATGGAGGATAGGAAAACGCCAGGCACGAACTGAAGACGACGGCCAAGTTGCTTTGTTTGTCTCGTGGGTTGTGAGGTGGGAGAGCCATTCATTGAAGTCAATGGCTTCGATGCAGGATCACCATGGACTGCGAGATAGGGCCATATCTGTCGGGGTCACTAACCACTAGTGCGTCTCGTCCCGGTGCACCCATCAGGGGAGATAGCCGTTGCTGCGTTGACTGGAAAGTGTCTTCATGGTTCGTTGACAGGCCGCTCCCAGTTAATGTGGAGGACTTTGGGTCAAGCGGCTCTCAGTATACGACGAACATGTCTTAATCAGGGTGACTTGCGGAGCGTGATAAGTTACCAGATTCAGACAGTTAGTTTTGTTAGAAATCATCTTCTGTACCTGAGCATGACTGTCCCGATGTTCTCATCTGACCCACGAGATGTCTGGCAGAAATCAACGGTCAAATAGTTTTCGAAGGTCTGTACGCAACGGTTAGAATCGGGCACAATCAATCGCACTGCATTCTACCCCTGACAACCAGAAATGAGATGACGTGAACGCCAGAAGTATCATGTATACTCTGGTCTATCCTATTCTGAAAGTGACTTCATTTTCTGCCAGCCCACCAGGATCTATGCGTCTGCAAGCATAGTAGTTGAGTTTAATCCCACCCGGTCCTGCAGTAGCACATTACACATCGTAGGTGCGGAGTGCACACTAAACCACGCGGTGGAATTATCTAGGTCAAAATAAGTTTTATTTCTCAAGTGCTTCAATGTCGATAGGTGGACGCCTCGGGATTATTGTGATTCCCGAGGTTTTGATGACAAGCAACGAAGGTTCAAGCAATACATCGACGAGGAAGATGAAGAGGATGGGCGAGAGAAGAGAGGCTTGTCTAATTCAACTGAATGTGGTGAACTCAGGTGAAAGTCTGCCGCAGACTAAAACGCGTCCATGCGAAGTATATAGAACGTTTACGAGCGAGCTGTGAAGGTGGGTTATACATCCGTGCTAGGTTTGAACGTGCAGCGATTCGTGGCCAGCTCAACGAAGACTTGCTGAGACAAACATTAGGCTTTGAAGCATATAAAACACTTACTCGATTCAAATTTACTAGGTGATTTCGAGTGCCAATCCAACAGCTCTTTCGTCTAAGAGAATACTGAAGCAAGACACCTCACAGACATCGTGCCAAAACAATTGATCCGTACGCCTTCACGAGGATGAAAATCAGATTTGTTGATCCCACGAGCAACGGTATAAGCTGAGGTCGGTTATCTAGTTATTGGGAATAGTCATGCTGCTTAACTGAGTCGACAGAACCTCGAACGTTACCATTTCAAAGTTCCATAGCTGCACGTTAACATTCTCAAGCACTCGTTCGGCCACCGACTTACCCTTCATAACACATGCGAGGCTGGTGCCCTCAATGCCTAACTGCTAGTTTAGGTCACAGGTTTCTAAGGATACATCTGGCGTAGATTTTACTACTAAGCGCTCCAAGACCTTTGAAAACTGCTAATTGCATGATGGATGTCCCCCGACGGCTCCTGATCTAATAGAACTACTAGGTTCGCTCACAGTATAAAATGCTACCTTGTAATAGGAAGAAAAGGAAGTACAACGGAGTCAACCTTAACAAGAGATGAGATGTCAGTTTCCATATTTTCTAAGCGGCAGCCAGCTTTGTTAAAACAATACTAATTCCTGGTGTTTGATCAGATGGTCGAAGAGGGACGAAAAGCACTAGGATTTCAGGTCGGGTTATTAATCGGACTTGTTCGTCGTCCACGTCGCTGACTTCGTTCGTGCATTCTTTGACCTATCACAATTAGGGGTCTCCGAAACAGTCAAGATTATCGTTCGGAGGATTCGAGTTGGTCGATCCGCTGAAAGTCATAGTTGCTTAAACCCACTTTGAAAATCTCCCTTCATCCGGCTTGATTAAGCAGCAAGATTCCACTTTGAGTGAACCGCCCTCGTTCGTGGAGTGCTGACCTACTTTGCACCTCAGTTTCCTCAGTCGAAACTGGAATGAGCGTCCCTCAGCACTTAAACGTTTTGTGTACAGCTGCGTTTGAAAGTGCGCGGAAAACCGAATCGATTAGGGTAAAAACCGATAAACTAATTCAACCTTACAATTATTTCGCACTTGCTTTTGAAATTTGTTCAAGCCAACAAAAAGTATTGGAAATTTGTATAAGAAACCCATCACTTATTACAAAATACCTACGTTGAACCGATGCAAACCACCATTTTCGATGAGTCGCACCCCAAATTCTTTGTAGAACCGGGGCAGGCGGTACTACGTAACTCGGTATGCTGTTCACTACAGATCACTGCGTTATGTACCATAGTTCAGCCCCCCCCCACAGTCTATAGAAAAATCAGCACGCAATAAAGCACTGACGCACCAACAGGCTGTCTAACACCGCACTGATGATTCCCCCTAAATCAGCATTGAAACCTTTGCAACTAAATTGTCCGGTTCAGCGAACAAGTCAGCGACCATTTATGCTTCCTGAGCTACCAAAGTTCCCCTAAATAAAAAGCCTCTTACTTGTGTTGGTATAACGAATAACTGATGTTGTCCTTCGGATACGTGAAATTCATCGGTGAGTAGCACGAAAACTCATCAGGGTTTGAATTTATTTGAATACTTCTTTTCACTTAATGCCATTTCCTCATACCGGGAAAATGGCGCTAATTACATACGACATAAGTTACTGCGACCACTTCCTGCGCTGAGAAGGGTCAGCTTCGTGGATGTTGCGGATTGCAAATCTCCAAACAAAGTGGTTGAAGACAAGGTGGCAGTAGAACGTAAAAAATTCTTTGGAAAAACATGCACCGTCTAACTTTACGCGGAGAAAATCGCATTGTACGGTGAGATGCCACGGTGTGAAAAAGAACACAGAGGATCTACCAAATAACTGATAAACAAGCAACAATGGAGCTCACTTTCGCGGATGCCTTGCAAATGTTCAGCCAATCCAATTGACCATGCAAAGGCTTGTTGACAACCTGTCCGGTTGTATCAAAGCCGAGTATATCGTTGCTGACCGAACTTGTGCGACCAGATTCTGCCTCGTGTTTATGGCGCAGTAAACGGAGACGGGCCTGTCCGCGCCCATTATCCAGTTCGCCATGAGTTAGCACACCAAGTAATGTCGACTTGCCAGCATCGACATTTCCCACGACGGCCACCCTGTGAATAGAACCCAAGAATGAGTCTAGACGGAAAACAGCACACTCAATTGAATGAGATAACTGAGACGTAGGGACATACAGGTTTGGAGAAAGGCATTCTGGTGCACACATTCTAAAAAACATCGCGTGGATCCGGAGTGGATAGCTAAGTGAACGTTGAACGGCTCCGTTGAAGACAGAAAAACAAAATAACAATCAGCCAGCTGTAACACCCTTTCGGTATGTAGCTGCCACGTCACACGAAGGAAACAATAAAGCTGAGATAACATCCCGTCACGCCCAAGCCCAAACAGGGCAGTCGAGAGGCTGCGGTTGAGTTCTAACAACGGGTATTCCGATCAGCATGTTCGCGACCTAACTAGTGCGCTATCTCGAGGTCGGAGACACCAGAGGACGTGGTGTCGCGAACAAGGCCTGCTTCCTGGCTAATCCATCGCAATTTATGAGAAATACGAACATGGTGAAACACAGAATAGAAGAAGGATCAAAAGGCCGAAAGTTAACTGTGCCAAAGGAGTCAGTTCAAAGTTAGAAATCAAGGGGGCAATAAACTGACAGGGAATATGCATGAGTCCAAAGATTGATTACCGGGGTTAGGACTGTGATTAACCCAGCTGCGGCCATCTATCATATTCTCACAGATTGTGACCTACTGTCTGACACCCGGTAAATAACACCAATGTCTAGAATTTCACTCATTATATGAGTGTAACGGTGATACTACTGATTAGGGAGGCACGCGAGTAGTATGTGTTGTTCGTAAAATTTCGCTTTGCGTCGACTGAAAAAGGGAATTCTGTTGCGGAATTCGTGGGGCCACTTTGTAACATTTGCTTGGATTTGACCGACGAATGAGTGGAGGCAATGAATGTCTAGGAAGACCCGTTCGGGAGAAGATCTGTGTCCAGTTTTTGTAACTAAGATGCAGATTAGAGTTTTGCTTCCCTGTTCACTGGTCTGCAACCGGTCAGTTGGCATTTCCGAATAAATAACTCCGCAGCGAAGGCCTTCTTCCTTTC